TGCCTGTTTTGACAGAGGTGTTAAGTCATTTTCACTGGCAGGAATCCAGCTCTGTCATAAATATTTAAATATTCAAAAGGATTTTCCTCCTCCAAGGGAAAAAAAGGATAATAAAAAGAAGTACATCCTAGCACTCTGGGAGGCCGAGGTGGGTGGATCGCTTGAGGTCAAGAGTTCGAAACCAGCCTGAGGAAGAGGAGAGCCTGTCTCTACTAAAAATAGAAACAAATTAATTGGCCAACTAAAACTACATATATATATAAAAAAGAAAAATTAGCTGGGCATGGTGGTGCATGCCTGTAGTCCCAGCTACTCGGGAGACTGAGGCAAGAGGATCGCTTGAGCCCAGGAGTTTGAGGTTGCTGTGAGCTAGGCTGACACCACGGCACTCTAACCTGGGCAACAGAGTGAGACTGTGTCATCTTAAAAAAAAAAAAAGAAGTACTATACAAAATGATAGTTTTTCTTAAGCTCCTATTAGTACCACAGATAAAGCCAATTAACTTACCTAGTTCACCCCTAATGGAATCTAAGAACCAAAATACCAGCCATACTGTTACCCAAATATCGCTATTTCAATTGTTCCCCTCTGAAAGGAGGCTCAGACTAGCCTGCAAAGCTCCTCTAGTATGGAAAGGACATGGGCTTTGGAATGAGAAAGACTGGTGCTGGAAATAGTAGGCAACATACTGAACTTCCACAGATACTGAGCTTCTGCAAGTATAAAACAAGGATAACAGCACCTTTAATTAATCCTTCAACATCTATTGATAAAGAGGGTAAATTAAAGACATTTGCAGAAGTGCATGATCTCAAAATTTTTATCTCATATTCACCCTTTCCTAGGAAGCAACTACAGGCGATGCTGTACCAAAACAAGGGAGTAACCAAGAAAGAAGACAACACAGGATATAAGAAGCAGGGGATCCAATACAGAAGAGACCCGAAGAACTGACAGCATAATAATAAAAAGAAATTTGGGATGAGAGCACAGAAGCATATGTGAAGGTGACCAGTTCTCAGGCTCTGTGAAACAATTCATCACGAAGATAAAATCAGAGAAGAGCTACTGCCTGTCCTGCTTAGCAGCCAACTCATCCCTGGCCCGCAGTGCGCATGTGTGGAATGTGCGCCGCGCTCTCCAACGGCCCTCCAACAGTCTGAGGGACAGTGACCTGGCCCCCTGTATAAAAAGTTTGAGGACCCGTGATTTAGACAGTTGGTGAGGAGACGGGGGTTGAATTAGTGTAAAGCTCAGAAAAAGACAAGAAAGACGGATAATTATTTGTTACCGGAAAAGTAAAAAGTTGCATAAGAAAGAAAAAGTAACCATAGTTTACTATTACTATTTGGCTTAGCTGTTAAAAGTATTCTATACTCATGATAAGATAAGCACTAAATACTCAGTTAATCAGGCCGGGCGCAGTGGCTCACGCCTGTAATCCAAGCATTCTGGGAGGCCAAGGCGGGTAGATAGCTCAAGGTCAGGAGTTCGAAACCAGCCTGAACAAGAGCCAAGACCCCCACTCTCTCACTAAAAAGTAGCTCAGCAATCTACTGCAACGAGCAAATATAAGAAAAAGAACCAAGGAATGGTAGGAGGCGATCGCCTGTGTTCCAGCGACTACAGGAAAACGCTCAGGCGAGGAGGAGTGCGAGCCTGACCATATGTGAGTTGCTGTGAGCTAGGCTGATGCCACAACACTCTAGCCTGGGCGACAGTGAGACTCTGTCTCAAAAAAAAATATTCAGTTAATCAATATTATGTGGATAAAATTATCTATTTATGAAAATTCTCTATTGTGTGGATAAAACAATGCAAAGGGTAGAAATGTAAGTTGAGAACCGGAAGAGGAAAGAGGGCTAAATTTCCCTTTCATACTGGGAAATCAATATGTAAAACTGAACAATCAAGAACTACTCTTTCGGCTGGTGCGTACGTCCCAGCTTCTCTGGTGAGGCGAGCAGGAGGATCCTTGAGCCCCAGGGTCGGTTGCTGGAGCTAGCTGACTCAACTCTATCCCTAGCAACAAAGCTGAGAATTTCTCAAAAAAAAAAAAGAACATCCCAACAAGTATAACTGAAATTTAAAGAAATTTAAATATAATAAATTTTATATATAAAAAAAGAACTATCAATACTAGCATATTTATTAGAAAAATGATGATAAAATACCAGAATAATCAGCTAAAAAATGTTAATGGTGGCCTCAGGGAAGAGGCAAATAGGGGTAGGGTAGCACAAGAGAGCAGGCAAATACTGTTTGTACTAAAGAATGTGGAGGGACTTTTTCAGTAGTTCTCACCCTGACAGCACCATGGAGTTGGTCTTAAAAAATACTGAACTGAGATACACCCCAGGTCAAGTCAATCAGAATCATAGGTGGTGGTGCCCAGGTACAAGTGGTTTTCAAAAGGGCTCTACATGTTTCTGATGCACAGAAAGAGTTGAGAACTAAAGCTTTAAGCTATACGCATGAGTTATTTCATAAATATAAAAGAGTAATATTTAAATGATGAAATACACATGAAACTTTGTATTTCAATGAAGAAACATATAGGAGACATACACTTATAAAATGCTCATATATATGAAACATATATAACAAAGTAGGTACTCAAGAAATAATACATGAGTTACTCAGTTCTCTTTTTTCATTAAAAACTTCAAAAATGGTAGTTTAAGACTTTTTTACAAATGCTTTTGTGGGAAAAGTAAGTATCAGACACCTTCAGATGGTATCACAGAGAACTGCATGTTTAAATTAGATGCATTAATACTAATTTTTAAAAAGACCAGATTGGTCTGTGTCTGGCTCTGATTTGCCTCCTGCATATGAGGTCCTCATTTCATTTCTAAAGATCACTATGTTCTAAACAATTTAATTCTTTAAAGTACTGATAATGTATGTGCCATCAAAAGCAAACAAACAAAAACAATTTCTATTTATTCACAGTTGTCTTGGGCATCTAGAATTAAATCATGATATATAATTGAGTAAATACATTTCCAATTATGCACAAAGGTATTTTTTAAAATCAGCATCCAATACTTATTCTATACCTAGACAGTGTTCTGGAAATAGCAGGCATATATAATGAATATCTTGAAATTATAAGAGGTGTCCAATAATGTCCAATTAAATTGAAAGACATTAATAGATTATTAAAATACCCTAAGTGCACACTAGATCATGTTAAACAATACATTTGACCTGCTGTATCAACACATTCGGTCACATCATCAAACTGTAGCGGCTGACTGATTTTCATTGACAAAGACACAGAATGCTTTTTTTAATTCTGTGAAGACACAAAATGCCTACAGTCTTCTGGGGTTTTTTTTCCTTAAAAAAAAAAAAAAAACAGTTGGCCAATTAATTTCTTTCAGTTTATAGTAGAGATGGGGTCTCGCTCTTGCTCAGGCTGACCTTTCAAACTCCTGACCTCGAGCAATCCGCCCGCCTTGGCCTCCCAGAGTGCTAGGATTACAGGTGTGAGCCACCGCACCCAGCTAGTCTTCTGGTTTTATAAGTTGAATTGTGGTAGCCAATAAACCTTTTCCTTCAGCAGCCTCCCACACTCTCCTCTCACAATACCACACATACACACACAATTTAAGAAAGTATACAGTAAACTTTCCTAAAACTCAAAAGTTGTAATAGGGATGGGTGCAGTGGCACACACCGGTAATCCCAGCATTCTGGGAGAGACGGGTGGATCGCTCAAGGTCAGGAGTTCGAAACCAGCCTGAGCAAAAGCAAGACCCTGTCTCTATTAAAAATAGAAAGAAATTAATTGGCCAAATAAAAATATAGAGAACAAATTAGCCAGGTATGGTGGCACATGCCTGTAGTCCCAGCTACTCAGGAGGCTGAGCCAGAAAGATTGCTTGAGCCCAGGAGTTTGAGGTTGCTGTGAGCTAGGCTGATGCCACAGCACTCTAACCTGGGCAACAGAGTAAGACTCTGTCTCAAAAAAAAAAAAAAAAAAAGTTGTAATATTAAACTGACAAAATAGATAGCAGGAAATATGCTGAAAAATTTAGAGTGAGTTAGATGCTCTTGGAATTCAGAGTTTAAAAAGTGAAACTAAATATGAAAACTAAATGGAAAACGTATACTTGGGGTCAGCGCTCTTGGCTACTAGATATTTCCATTGTTCTCCTGAAATAAACCTATAAATGTTTGCTTTTCCATTTAACTGCAAATACGAACATTCACAACAGAAATAGTTTAAAGTGGCAGATCTGTACACTTTGAGAACATATTTTTCACTAATGAAACATTCCAACCAGATAGATACAAAGGACTCTAAAGATTATGTTTTCATTTTCCTATAAATTAGTACAGTTTGAATTCTAAAATCCAACTTTAAAGTGCTAACTGCTGGCATTCTTTTGAGATTCTCTGAAAACCGCTGCTTTAATAGCAAAACATAATACAAAGGATATTCAAGTCAGATCCCTGTCACCTTTTTAAGCATTCAGGGCCATCTTTTATTCCAAACGTCACAAATTTTTAAAAAATGAAGTGCATGTAAAACAATGTTAATATTCAATGACTATTACTGTGTAACATGGGATAAAAGTTTCACTTAAACTGTAGCAGCTCATTGTGTAGACAGAAGAGGAAAACGTTCGAAAACTAGAAAATAAAATTCACCCTTATACTTCTACCTCTATTAAAAAAAATTATTCTGGGTTGTATAACAAAAATAAACCTCCCACCAGAGATCTTGGAAATCTTGAATTTTTTTTTTCCTGCAGGAGGATTTATTATTTTCCACTGAGAGTCCATTCATGCGTTTTTCTTCTTGTTTCTATTCATAGCACGAGATCCTGACTAGCATGCACAACCTCAAAAGAAAAGAAACACTAAATACAAACTGTGTAAAAGATTAAACAAAACAAAGCAAAATAAAAAGGCACACGTTAAGAGTGGGTACCCTTGGGTTGGTGCCATAATGTCTAACGTGTGCGACAGGCATGCGGGAACTCACCTTGTACGCAACACTGTTGGATGAATCCACAATGATAAACAGGGGCTTCCTGGTGAAAGGATAGAGATCTCCAGGATGAAGGCTGGAAAAACAACAACAACAACAATGAAGAATTGTATAACTATGTTGGCCAAGTCTCAGAAATCTTATTCTTCAGTTTGATCTGCTCATATGTATCTCCATTTCATCACAGCATTGAGAAAAAAACCCCAAAGATTAATTAAGCAAAGGACAAAAAAAGTCTGTATTTACTGGGATAGCCAAGTTAGTTTTATTTTAAGCAAAAATTTAGAAATAATTATTATTGAAGAATATCTAAGCTAAAGAGAAGTCTGTATATTTAAAGATGACTAAACATATGGCATGAAACCTCAGAAGTCAGCAGGTAGGTACTTGTTTCATATTTAAAAGCTCCTTCTAAAAACATGTTTTGAAAACAAGATGCAATGCAATAATACAACTAGATTTGTATTTCAATGAAATCTTCAAAATCTCTAATATTATAATATTAATATTGGAGACAACAAGTAGGGAACCCCCTTTTCCTAGCCTTTATGTTTCCTCTGGCCATTTGTATCAGAATCACAAGGGTGCCTGTTAAACATGGAGATTCACTGCCCACAGAAGACCTATTGAACCCAAAGGCTGAAGTCCAGTAACATGGATTATATTTGAGAGCCACTGCTGGCATGCTCTCTTGCCCAAGGCTTAGTAGACAATGTGTACATGTGTATAGATATTAATGTAAATGTAAATATATAAAATGATGCTTCAATGAGCAATATCATCAAACTTCAATATGTTTTAAATGATTTTTGTTTTATTAATAAAAATTGTATACATTAAAGGTATAAAACATGATTTGGTATATGTGTATATCATGTAGTGAGTACCATGATCAAATTACTCAACACATCCATCCCCACACATAACTACCCTTTGTATGTATCTGTGTGTGGGGGGGTGATGAGGACACTTGAGATCTACTCTTTTAGCAAATTTCAAGTAAGTAATACAGTATTAACTACTGTCAACATACTGCACTTTACATCTTATTCACCTTATAACTGAAAGGTTGTCCCCTCTGACCATATCTCTGCATTTCCCCCGACTCCCAGCCTCTGGCAACCACCACTCTACTATCTGCTTCTATGAGTTTGACTTTTTTATATTCCCCATATAAATGGGATCATGCAGTACAGGATCAGCATCTCTAATCTGAAAATTCAAAATGCAAAAAGCTCCAAACTACAAAACTTTCTGAGAGCTGACATAACACTTCAAGTGGAAAATTCTATACCTGACTTCATGTGACAGGTTACAGACAAAACAAATACACATGGCCAGATACGGTGGCTCAGGACTATAATTCTAGCATTTTGGAAGGCCCAGGTGGAGGACTGCTTGAGCTCAGGAGTTCGAGACCATTCTGAGCAAAAGCAAGATGCTGTCTCTACTAAAAATAGAAAAATTGGCTGGGTATTGTGGTGCGTGCCTATAGTCTCAGCTACTCAGAAGGCTGAGGAAAGAGGATCACTTAAGCCCAGGAGCTTAAGGTTGTAGTGATGATGCCACTGTACTCCACCCAAGGCGACAGAACAAGACCATGTACACAACACTCAGTTCATTCAACATCCCAAAGGGAAAAATAAATTATCTTTACACTATGTGTATGAGGTATACATGAAACCTAAATAAATCTCATGTTTAGACTTGGGTCCCTTCCCCAAGATTTCTCATTATGTATATGCTAATATCCCAAAATCTAAAACATCCAAAACCTGAAATATTTCTGGTCCTAAGCATTTCAGATAAGGGATATTCAATCTGTATTAGAAAGGTAGTTTCAGACCAGTCAAGTTTTCTTTATAACTAGATTGCTTTCAGCTGGAGAAATTCTAGAGCCAATAATGACCCAAGCAGTGAAGGTGTTGTATTTAGAAAAAGAGCAAACTTTCATAGATGAAATTCTATTTGAAATCATGCAATTTAATTCATTTGTGCTATATTGAACCAAAGAAACTTTATATGCAACAGATCAAGTCTCTGTCTCAAAAAAAAAAAAAGTTCTTTCCAAAGGAACCTTATATAAAGTTCTTATTGATGTTAAAATGTATCACATCCTGACATATTATTTGTATATGTATACATGCATTGTCTCCCAGAAGATTGCAATTTTGTTCACTGACATATTTCCAGTGATTGAAGAGTGCTTTGACATATAATACATACTCAATAAAATATTTGTTCAATGAATGAATAGCAACCAAAAATTCTAATTTCCTAGGATAGTCAGAGCCTGAAATATTGCTGGAGTTCAATTAAGTGTTAGTAACAGTAGTCTAAGGGAAATTTTCTAGCACTTGAAAAAAGTCTCCATTTCACTTAATATTTTTTTTTAGATTTCATGTCTAAGCTTATCACTTAATATTTTTTATATTTATAGACAGAGCTATAATTTTTTTATAGGGAGAAACACCAGAATACATACCAGTGCATTTCCTTGTGGGATTGATTTCGTTTGTGGATGGCATCTCCATTTATAATATCTCGGTTACTATTAGTAAGTACACCTCCAAAATCATAAGGACCTATAAAAACAAAGGGAAGAATCCTAGACTTCAATTGAAGAGTATCATTCATCTGATGTTCAAATACAAAAGTATTGTATGAATCTCTTATTGACACAAGGGAAGATAATCACGAAACATTTTAATTATTTTAAAAGTAAACATTTTAATTTAATGTAGTATTTAAATGATTTCAATATGTTGTCTCTTTCAACATTTTAAAAAATCATTTAATTATTAACCAGTTCTTCAAACAGAATATAATGAGAAACAAAACAAGAATCTACTGCATCCCATTATTCTACGTAATAAAAGGGATGGAGATCTGGGATGTCCAAAATGACTTTTTTTGTTTCAAGGTCATTTCATTAAAATTTTAGGTTTAACAAAATTATTTTTAAAAGAGAGTTGCAGAATGAAATCTTAATCTCTTAACTATAATTTTAAATGAGCCACTCACTGATTGTAAAATTTAGGAAAAAATTTGAATAGAATTTGAAAATTCTCTTTGAAAAAAACTTCGTTTTTAAGAAAAGTACTGCCAAATTTCAGGGTGTGAAAAATCCATTATTATGACTATTATATTAGCCACTTTAGTTCTAGTTTTGAAGTTAGCCTTTTCTCACTAGATTCATATGAGTTAGCTAAACTCTTATCTAAATGGCACAGCAGCTGTGGGATGTTCGGATAATCTCTCTTAAAGGACCACTGAGTTTTTACCTATTGTACTTTGAAAAAAGTAAAATAAGAGGTCAATATGTTAGGCACAAACCCAGAAAACCTGCTATAACAGTATATGTTATAAGACATAGAAATAATTATTTGTAATGAAAATTACTAACTCTATTACAAAAAAACTAGTTTAAGATTTTTGTATCACTTTTAATGTTAAGTGTTCTACTTTGCCCTTAAAAAATTACTGCAATGAAAAGATTAAAGAGATTTGTTTTGTTTTCATTTTAACATTTAAGAGGATCTGTAGGTCATGCATGGAAGATGGCAGGGACATGCATTGTATAAAGGAATGCAAATTTCAACAAACAGATGAGGAGGAAAATGTTAAGGATGTTAAGACAATTTTTTTTTTTTTTTTTTTGCCTAGACAGAGATTTAATTATCTTATTTACATCCAAGTTACTCATCTCTTCTGATCAATTTCTGGACTCATATATTCTGGACAGTTTTAAGTTTTTATTCTGAAACAGCATCCCAATATTCTACAGATTGAAACCATAAAACAAAATAAAGGAAAAGAACAGAAAACAAAATCATGACAAGGGCTTGAACTTTCACAGTTACAAAAGTACACTGATTTCTACAAAGACTTTCAGCCATAATATAGCCACTGACCAAATTCCCTAATTTACTAAAGGTTGAGAAAAATTCATTGATATGAAATAGATAATTAGGCTTACTTATTCCATCATCCTTTCAACTTCAAAACATCAAACTCCTTATATCTATCTATCTATCTATCTATCTATCTATCTATCTATCTATCTATCTATCTATATAGATATAGATAGATAATATGCTTTTGGAAAATTTGATAGTGAAGCAGGCATTGAATACATGAATTTTCTCATGACTTAGAAGAAAATTGATGAGCTTCACTGTATAATATTTCAGGAAACAAAAGAGATAGAGGTATCTATAAGATTGCCAATTCAACAAATAGACCAGGTTTCAAATTTGATCACCTGTCTAGAAAGCTTGAGATGGTCAGTGGGCCATGGGCCATCATCTTGTAGAAAATAAAGAGAGTTCAAGCCCTGCTCACGACAGGGAGCATTCCTTTATTATACCTTCACTATCAGAACGACCTGTGGGGAAAACGCCAGTAGCTGACAGGTAAATCAGAAGCACGCTATTGGCAGGCAGCTCCTGAAATTAAAGAAAATCACACATACAAAACAACAAACAGGAAAAAACAACACAATTTTATTTATAGTTTGTGACATTTTAAAGTTGTGAGGAAAACAAGAACCTAATTTAACATGTTGTTTTCTTTTCCAAGAGAAGACAACTTGCTGGTTCTGACTTAAAACTATATACACAGCAAAGATTCATTATTAATCTATAATTATTACCAGAAGTTGTGAAGAGGTTCTCTGATTCAAAAACCCCATCACTTAGAGAATGCTCTCTGAAAACTTGAAATGGAGAAGATCCTGACTGTAGGTCTAAAAGACAAAATTCCTTCCATGGATTTCTCTATATAAACTCTGGGAAGAATTCTCCTATTTCACATAGTTCTTTCAGGTGATCAAAATGTTTCACAGAGCTGCCTGAATATATAAGATGCCTAGGCACTCGGCTCTTGTCACTTCTGAATTGACTATTATACGTAAAGTAGCTGAATAATAAAAACCTGGAGAAATGAGCGTGCTCATTAGTCAACATTCTCATTAATTAATTAGGAACATTCACAACATAGTAAGAAATTTTCATTCCAAAAAAGCTATGATTAGGATCATTATTTTAGGCCAGGCGTGGTGGCTCACGCCTGTCATCCTAGCACTCTGGGAGGCTGAGGCAGGTGGAATCCTCGAGGTCAGGAGTTTGAAACCAGCCTGAGCAAGAGCAAGACCTCATCTCTACTATAAATAGAAAGAAATTAATTGGCCAACTAATATATATAGAAAAAATTAGCCGGGCATGGTGGTGCATGCCTGTAGTCCCAACTACTCGGGAGGCTGAGGCAGGAGGATTGCTTGAGCCCAGGAGTTTGAGGTTGCTGTGAGCTAGGCTGAAGCCACGGCACTCACTCTAGCCTGGGCAACAAAGCGAGACTCTGTCTCGGAAAAAAAAAAAGGATCATTATTTTAGAGGCAGTTTTTCATTTTCATAGACTCTTGACTCAAATATTCAAAGAAAAGAATGACTCTCAGATTTCATTTAGGGCACATTTTCCCCACATAGTAAAAAGTATTGGATCACATATACCTTAAAAGACGCTGCTAAGAATGTGTAGAGTTGGCTGAAGGTTGGTTTGTAAAGCAGATACTTGTGGGGGTTTTCTCGTCTGGTTGGCTTGTCAGCTGATTCCTGTATTCACACATAGAAAACAATATATAGACAACTTGCACTTGACAGATGAATTGCCAGTGCCTGTTTTCACTATCTTCTTTATCAATATTCTTCTTACTGAATGTTACTATGCTTATGCTTCTCTATTTCTCCATTTCTCATCAAGAGAACTCTCATTCACATTTGTAGCATTTGTTGAACAAGGGGCTGCATTCAATGAGGAGCAGAAGCAGCCAGAGGGTCACCACATTTGCAAAAGTAGGGAGAAGATCACCTGCATTCCTGGTTTATTCATCTGGGAAGCTAAATTCATCGGCTCCCTTTCCAGGGCTTGTAACATCCGGAACATGTCAACAGTTAGTTCGCTGAACTTAACCTGCAAGAAAAACAAACCTGGTGTTTAATGCAGCACACAGACCTTGAAGTCTTTCATCACATTAATACTCTTGACTTTCATGTATACTTAAGGACACTGGTTATCTCATTCTGTAATATTTCACCATGAAGATTTTCAAAAGACAGAAAGGTGGGAAGAGTTGTACAGTGACACCATCATCTCTGTCTTATAATTAACATGTTTCATATTTGTTTTTATCACATACCCCAGCTATCTACACCTCTACTGATCCATCAATTGCCTCAAGTATTTTTAAAAACAAAACAAAACGCAGTTACCAAAACGCAGAGACTATATTAGGTCCTACAAAACATGCTAACTTTTAGGAAATTAGCTAGGCTAAAATATGGATGTGACCCATACTTTATAATCTCTAATATATTTTGGCACTATAAGATATTTAGGACAGCACCTTTTTCCATTTTTAACAATACTTATATAGAACTTCAGATAGGCACAGGAAGATAAAACAAAGAGATGGGAATTTTCAAAAGTTCCTGTTTCTATGAAATAAAATAAAGAGGAATTATTTAAGGTGAGAATCAGTTTATGAGATTATTCACTAGACTTTCAAATATTTAACTCATTTAATATATTTTTAGGCAGACTAAGCAAAAAAAAAATTGTCTTCAACCAAAATTTCACAAAGATGGGATTCTCTGACCATGCTTAATGTCTCAATGAAGCATTACTTGTTTTCTGAAATGTGATAAAACTACCCTGAAGTTTCACACATTCACCATCAGTTACCTGTACCCAAGACGATAAAACAAGATCCCCTCCACTTCCCCAGGACTTAAAGATAATAACCTGGCTCATCTGTCCTTAGTACTTTGTCTAAAATGAGGCATATAAATGAGAATACGTGTTCTAGGGTATAACTTACACTTTTGGCTGCATGAGGGTTTTAAGGAACAAACTCTATACACAGGGTATTTACAGATCCCTGTTTTAACTTGATAATAGCTACCTCTCTTAAATCAGATTATTTTCACGTCAAAAAAGCATATCACATGTCATACTTCAGGCTTGATGATCCTTATCTGACGTCTTACGCCAGACATCACTTGAACTTCTCCACTCCCTATTCCTTAATTGGGTCAAATTCCTCTAGTTCTTCAGCTCCCCACTCTCTCCCTTAATTATCCCTCTCTACATTATCCTTTGTAGGTAGATTTGTTACTTCCCAAACCATGAAATCAGGTTCAGTGACTGATACTGTCTACCTGAGCAACAAACCAGAAACCTAAGAGTCATCTCTGACACCTCTTTACTTCCATATCCAACCAAATATCAAAGGCTATAGGTTGTCCCTTCTACATATCTCTTGAAACTAACTGCCCCAGTATCACCACTACCCTGTTATTATAACATACTATCATTCATGAAGATTACTATGACAATTTCCCAACTGCTCTGCCACCCCCATTTGGCACCAATCTGTTCTCCACAACCGTAATCAAAATGGTCTTTTCAAAGCATAAGCCTTGTCATGTTTCTCCCTTTGGATCAAACCATTTGCTAATTTTCCAACACACTTAGGATACAAAGTATTGAACATTCACTACCAGTCCTTGTTAATACAGCCCTACCTACCTTTCCTCCTCCTGTGGTTCCCACTGTTCCCTCAGTTCCAGCCAGTTTAGCCTTCTATTAATGTCTTATACTATTCACACCTCCTTTGCACTCTAGGCCATTACACATGCTCTTCCTGCTGCCTGGCACGCTCTGGTCTTTACATGATGAACTTCTACCCATAGCTCTTAGCTCAAGAAACTATTCTCAGAAACATTTTCAATGATTTCCCAGACTAGGTCAAATACCTTGATTACAGATACTCAAACCACACACTTCTCCTTTGTCACGTCTGTTCAAGTGGCTATTAGGTATTTATCTAAGTGCTTACTTGATTGATGATTGTCTTCACAACTAGACTGTAAGTTCCATTGGGGAAGGCACTTTGTTTTGGGTTTTTTGTTTTTTTTTTTTTTTAGCTCTACTTATCCCCAGTGCCTTATCCATAACTGGCACTCAATAAAAAAATGATTGAAGGAATGAATGAATGATTCATCTGCTGAACTCTAAGTCTCTTGCGATGAGTCATTAATAGATTAGCATTGTAAGACCATACTTGAGGGATTATTTCTATAGTTCATTACCAAATTAGCATTACCAAAGTCATATTTTCATATAAGGAAACAAAATAGCCATCCCTATAACAAAAAGTAAAAATATATCTTTCTGTTTCCAGTAATATAAAGGTTACATATCCATCAACTCTATCCTTTAAAATGCAGAGATGAGCTTGCACGAGAGTAAAGGATTTCCTAAGAGGCCAGGATTAAAGGAGGAGCAGAGGTTTAGGGGGTGAGTGGGCTCTAACGCCTTAAGCCGTCCCATAGTAAGGACAGCATGGGCGTCCTGGGGAAGAACTGGCTGGGAGACGCCCCATCCCACACATACACCCATGCCCGACTAAAGCTGGAAGCACAAAAGGATATGGCCTCAGAAGAGGAGTACACTAGAAACAGATCTACTCCAAAGAGAGAGAAATGAAGGAAACAAATATTCCTTGGCCTTTGCTCTGGGAAGAGATGAAGAAAAGTCTCCCCTAAGAACTCACAGCCATGGGCTGGCTCTCATGTGGTTTGGGAATCTGAATTAATACTATTTGCATGGTCCAAACATCTTAAGGTTTTTCATTTAAAGAGAAGAAAAACTGACAGTGCCTCCAAGTTTTGGGGGAAAAGTCAGTGCAGATTCTCACGGGAAGAAGGCATCCCTAATGCAGGTCTCAAAGAATTCTAGCTGACTGAATTACAGCAAAAAAGAGCCCACAACCAAAAATCATAAAACTCATGAAGAAAAAAGGCATCTCTGGTTCAGTTAACAGACACAATAGGCAATTGAAATAGAACTATTAATATAAAAAGTCATATACAACATGTAAAACAAGTTTATTCTATATGCTTAAATAAGAGAAGCAATCAAAATAAATTCCAGATAGACTGTAGATATGAATGCGAAAAGCAAAGTAATAAGGGTTTTAGAAAATAATAATAATAAAAAAAATTATCTTCATGACCACATATGTAATAGGCAAGGATTTCTCAAAATAGGGCAAAATAGGGCACCAAAAAGCTCTTACCAGAAAGGAAAAAATTTATGAATTGGACATTAAGGACTTCTATTCACCAGAAGCCCATTATTGGGAGCAGGGTCTAGCATAGAGTAGGTGCACAATAAATATTCTAATTAAAGTGTAAAAAGAGAGAGAGACAGAGAGGAGACACCAGAAGAGAATAAAAGCCAAGCCACAGAGTAGGAGAGGAGATTTCAATATACAAATTTGACAAAGGCCTTTCATGCAACATATATTAGGAACTCTTACAAATTAATAAGAAAATAATTGGACTGCTTGATCATAGGGTTAGTACCTATTATATAGAGGTATTATTATTATAAGAGGTAAGAGGTACTTATTATTATATAGTACAGCATATATTTAGGTATATTATATAATGCCTAATATTTTTCTAAACTAGATATTACCAATTTACACTTCTAACAACAAAGTATGAGATAGTTAATTTTTGTACAGTCTTGCCAGAACATGCTATTATTAGTATCTTGGTCTGTTTTGTTTTTAGCCATTTGAGCGCATGGTATCTCATTTGGTTGGGGTTTTTGGGGGATTTTATTGTTAGAGTTGGGGTCTTGCTATGTTGGTTGCCCACACTAGTCTCAAATTTCTGGGCTCAAAGGATCCTCCCACCTCAGCATCCCAAGTAGCTGGGACTACAGGCATGTGCCACTGTGCCTGGTTCATTTGTTTGTTTTCCAGACAGGGTCTGGCTCTATTGACTGGGGTAGAGTGCAGTAACTGGATCATAGCTTATAGCAACCTCAACCTCCTAGGCTCAAGCGATCCTCCTGTCTCAGCCTCCCAAATCAAAAAAGCCTCCCAAGTTGCTGGGACCACCGGAGTGTACCATCACACCCAATTAATCAAAAAAAAAATTTTTATAGAGACTGGATCTTGCTATGTTGGAGGCAAGCCTCCAACTCCCGGCCTCTAGCAATCACTCCACCTTGGCTTCCCAAAGCGCTAGGACTGTAGGCATGAACCATTATACCTGGCCTCAAAAAAGTTTTACGGTAGAAATTTGCAAAATAATGGCCACAAAAGCCAAAAACGGAGGACTAGAATAATTTAACAATAACAAAAATGACAGGTATGAGGATAAGATTTGAAATTAAAACTTGTGTAAATAACACAAATAGAAAAATGTGTTTACTGGTGACTTTTCCAATGTACAATAAATTGCAGTAAATGACATTTCTAGTACATTAAATCCTCAACATTATGGAACTATTCTGTCATTTAAAAAGTATTTTGAGGCTGGGTGTGGTGGCTCATGCCTTTAATCCTAGCACTCTGGGAGGCCCAGCAGGAAGGATTGCTTATGCTCAGGAGTTCGAGACCAGCCTGAGCAAGAGTGAGACCCGTCTCTACTATAAATAGAAATAAATTAGCCAAACAAATTAGCTGGCACAGTGGCACATGCCTGTAGTTCCAGCTACCTGGAAGGCTGACGCAGGAGGATCGCTTGAGCCCAGGAGTTTGAGGTTGCTGAGAGTTAGGCTGACACCACGGCACTCTAGCCCAGGCAAGAGAGTGAGACTCTGTCTCAAAAAATTAAAAAAAACAAAAAGTATTTCAAGTTCGGTTTTGACAAATGTACTCAAAAACAACTCCTCCCAACTGGAAAAGTAATATATACAAATTTAGAAAACTTTAGAAAGTTGTAAAGAAGAACATAAAAATCACCTATAATTCTGCTATTCAGGAATAAATCTTTCAGATATTTGTAAATTACTTCCTAGTCTTCTTCCTGTACATACACGTAGATAGACATTCTAACATACAGGAAATAATTCTGTTTACATAGCTCCCCAGAAAATTTATTTTCATTTACCATATCATGAGTTTCCTAGTTATTAAAAATTCTTTCTACACTATTTAAATGCCTGTAATTATATTCCTTATACACACATACCATAATTTAATTAATCATTTCCTCAAAGATGGATGTCAGGATATTTATAAGGAAATAAATATCCTTGTTATCCCTGCCGTGATAATCAAGAGCATTATGTTTCAAAGCAAATTTTAAGCATAATGCCTTCACAATTCTTTACCTGATTATTACAATTACCAATAATGAGTGCATCAGCTAGAGACAACTGTCCCACGATCATGCCCTGTTCCAGCAATGGGGCTCCTGTTTCAGCCAGGCGATTAGATGTGATAACAATGGTATTATCATCATTCAACACCATTACAGGGTCCGCCTAAAGAAAAAAGCAGTAAGAAGTTAATGACCAAGACAAAATATCAATATAAGTTAATGCTTCTTCTCGACATATACACACAACAAAAACATAAACCAGAGTCATTTATTTATTCATCATTATGATTTATCTTTCTAGGTAAAAAAATGACCTCAATGAAAGCTGCTACTTCTTGAAGCACCAAGTTCCATTCCACTTGATCTTCAGTATTAAAGCGGTGAGTATAATCTTCAATTTCATCTGACAATTCCTGATTTTAAAATATAAAAAAAGTGTTACTAAAAATTCCATAAAAATACATAGCTATACTATACCATATTTCTGACAGAAACTGATACAGTTAAGAAGTTTGATTATAAATATAATCCCAATTATAATGAAAAACAAATAATAAAAACTACATGGATTTGCTTCAAAATTTGAAACTCCAGAAGGATACACATCAAATAAAATCTTTATAGAGATCCATTTCCTATTCAGTGCTATGTCAGCATTCAATTCATAGGAAAGTCAGAAGAAACTTTAAAAAATTGAATATATCCCGATTATCTTTGGATTTATACTATTTTTTGGAAATAGTCTTATTAGTAGCTATGCATAGAGGAAGACAAAAAAGGAGTACATAGAGCTATTCCTCTTGGCCTTGTCAAAACTGGCATGTTATGCTTGAAAGAAAAATTAAGAAGTATGCCAACAAAACTATTGAATACAGAGTACAACCAGAATTTATTATGCAATAATTACAGATATTAAATGGATCCTGAATACAGTTAGCCCTTAAGTACCTGAGTTAATGAAAGAGTGATATAGCTTCTGTAAAGTGACAGAAAAACTAAAATTCATTTACAATACCTCCATAAAACATTACGTATTTTTTCATGATCTCAAATTCTGATTATTTTCTCTTAAACTAAATACTTTTTTCCACTTGCATGTCTCAGCCCTCCATTAATGGGCTGTGAAATGTAAAAACATGCTGTTGGGACAAAAGGAAGGAATTAAGATAATTATCTTTGATTAGTGTAAATCAATTATCATATGAAGAGAGGGGGAAATATTTTCTATCTTAACCTATGTCAGAAGTTATTATACTTTAAATGTTGTAATTATTTAGATACATCAAAATTATTTTAACATAAAATATATTTTTAAGAAATACAATTATCCATATACAATTAGAGATTAGGATTCTAATTACTTTAAAGCACATTTACCTTTACTAGATCCTTCACAACATCCATTTTGTTGAGAAGAAGACAAACTACTATAAATCTTGCATAGTACCGTAGCTTCTTAACTACCAACTCAGGTCTATGATAGATAAATAAAAAATAACTCATTAGGTTAAAAAAGAAGATATGCTTTTTTGATTTTTCCAATTTTCTGAGGACTTTTAAAATTCTTTTCATCTTTTTTGCAGTTATAACCATTTCCATATACAATCATACAGTCTTTTTGAGATATTTCTTATTGATTCATTAAGCTGTTCACCCATATATTCATTCATTCAATAAATATCTATTGAGAACTTAGAAGTATAGGCACTATGCTAAATGCTAAGAGTAAAAGGTTTTAAAAAAATCTATAGACACAGTCCCTTCTTCACAGATCTTACAGACAGAAAAGTACTTAAAATATACAGGAGACAGATAAATACTTAAAACACAGTGGAATAAATATAATAACAGGAGAAATAAACAATGCTACTTTGAGTCCAAAAGACCAGCTCCTGGATGAGAAAAGGCTTTATAAAGAAAGTGATAAATGTTTAAGATAGCAAGGAAGAGTAAAAGAGTATGGAAAATATGAAGTGAAAAGAATTCTAGGAAGAACATCCTTTATCTTGAAATCTCATTTTTCTAATATTAACAATCAAGCCAGCTTTCTCATGCTTACTGTTTGTATGTCATATCTTTTTTCATCTGTCTACTTTCAATTATCTGTCTTTTTTTTTTCTTTTTAGCATATACATGTATATTTTAGAGATAGGGTCTCTCTCTATTGCTCAGGCTATAGTGCAATGGTACAATCATAGCTCATTGCGACCTTGAACTCCTGGGCTCAAGCAATCTTCCCACTTCAGCCTACCAAGTAGCTATGACTAGGGCATGTGCTGCCACCATGCCTGATTTTTTTTTTTTTTTATTTTCAAAGGTGGAATCTTGCTTCCTGCCTTGGCCTCCCCAAAGCACTGTGATTACAGGCATAAGCCATGGTGCCAGCCTATCTGTCTTTTTATTTAAATTCATCTGTTGTAGACAATGTATCATTATATCTTGCTTTTTTCAACCCACTTTGACAATCTCTACCTTGTACCGTTTACATTTAATATTGTTACCGTTTTAGCTAGGTTTGTGTCTACCACCTTGCTATTTGTTTCCTATTTGTCCCTTCTCTTTTTGTTGTTCCTCTTTTGTTCCTTTCTTACCTTCTTTTTGGTTAAGCAAATATTTTTTAATGTTCCTTTTTGTATCATCTATTGGCTTCTTAGTTATAGCTATTCTGTGTTACTGTTCTTTTAGTATTGCTAGGAGTAGCAATGTGCACCCTAAACTTATCAAATGCCATTTACAGTCAACATAGTGCCTGTTCAAGCCTAGCACTTTACACTTACCCCTTATCAATTCAAATCTGACAATTTCAACTTCCACTTCCTGCTTTCCATATCCCACATCAAAAATACTTTACAACAGTATATTTTGTGTGCATGTTTGACACTTTCTACAATAAAAATTTTCAAAAATTCTTCTTTGAATGAGTTAGTTAGAAATGTATCACTAATTGACAAATGTCTTAAACTGTTTTATTCCTGTTTATGATGGAATCATACAATGGTTAGAGAACACATACTTGAAAATTTATTGAACCGTGTATTAAATTTGTTTTGTGGCAAATATAAGTCAACTTCACAAAAGTTCATATAAGCTTGAAAATAACATACATTTACTTATTGTTGCATCCAGTTTTCTGTAAGTTGGAACAAGTTTTTGTTACTCATATCTTATAATTTCTTATCTTCTTGATATATAAGGTATTAAATATGGTAGAGCAAAAATTCCCATATACATTAGGCCATTTATTAATTTCTCCACTTTTTGCTTTATTATAATGCTACATTATTGGTTATATATAAATTTAGAATTTCTCTATTTTTCTTAATTGTTCCTTTTATCATTATGGAGTAAACCTCTATCCTTAATATTTTCTGCCTTAAATAAAAATAGTATGTATTGGCATATTTTCCCCCTTAGTATCTGTCTTATTTATCTTTTTTTATGTACCTTATATCTTTGAAGGATCTCTTATAAATAGTATGTTACTGGATTTTTCTAAAAAAGGCATACTGACAATGTCTCTTAAATGGAAAGTTTATATCACTTTCACTCACTGATTACCACCATATTTGGACTTGTTTCTACTTTATTATTTTGTGCTATTTATGCTTTTTGGGGTATATTTTCCTTTCCTGTCTTCCATTATAATGATTTATTCTATCTGTTTTGAAGTTACACATTCTCCTTATATTAAGTATATTTTTCTTAGAACATTAACAAACTACTTACTCTATGTGTTTTCTGAGCAGTAAATGGATCTTATTAGAATAACTTAATTCTTTATCCTCTTTCTTCTCTCAATGCTATTGTTATCCAAGATTTGGCCCCATTTTATTTCATTTTTATTTATTTATTTATTTTTGAGACAGAGTCTCTCTCTTGTCCTGGCTAGAGTGCAGTGGCGTCAGCCTAGCTCACAGCAATCTCAAACTCCTGGGCTCAAGCAATCCTTCTGCCTCAGCCTCCCGAGTAGCTGGGACTACAGGCATGCGCCACCATGCCCAGCTAATTTTTTCTATGTGTTTTAGTTGGCCAGCTAATTTTTCTATTTTTAGTAGAGACGGGGCCTCGCTCTTGCTCAGGCTGGTTTCGAACTCCTGATCTTGAGCGATCCACCGGTCTCAGCCTCCCAGAGTGCTAGCCCATTTTATTTTAATAAAATCAATGAGCCATTATTACTGTCTCATAACATAATGTGTTTTAGGATACAAGGGGATACTTTTTGTTTACTAATCCTTCTTGTATATTACCCCTTATTCTAGTTTTAATTTTCCTCTTCATTGTTCTTTTATGTTACCAAAATCAACTACTCCCCTGCAAGGTCACCATGGCAAATGAACTAGGGATTTCTTTATTTTCTTGACAGCTACGTTGTCCATTTAAAGGGATGACTGTTCTATTTTATCCAGCATTTCTAGGTGTTTTAGAACTGATAGTATTTTAGGTTATCTAGCCTACCACACTGTCAGGGGTGGAATTCAAAACAGAAATAAAATTAGTAGAAGGACAATATCAATTCATACCTAAAATATGAATGACTTAATTCCATTAATTTTTTGATAAAACAGGTTCCATGAATCAATAGATCATGAATTATGTAACTGGCAAACTTTCCATAAAGGGCCAGATAGTAAATATTTTGAGCTTTCCAGGCCATATTTGATGCCTGTGGCATATTTATCTTTTCCTTTTTTCACAACCCTTTGAAAATGTAAAAACAATTCTAAGCTGCCAACAAGTACAAAAACAGGCCATGGGCCCAATTTGGCATGTAGGCCACAGTTTGCCTATCTCTGCATTAAATAAACATTGCATATAAAACACTACAGGAATGAAAAGCCACAGCCTGTCGGCAGACTCCATATCAAACTGCACAAGAAGTATGACCCTCACTGGAAGGGTCCACACTCAGCCCTTGTTATCAACACTACCACTGTGAACTGCCAAAGCCATCAATTTCAGATTCATATTTCCCACATTAAAAAACGTCAATACTGTCACCACTGAAGTTGAAATTATGATGCTCTTGACAAACTCTGGACTCCAGAATTCTACTTCGTCCAACCTACCAGGCCCACTACTTATAAGACAGTGACTCTTCTATTGTACATTTGCCTGAGAAACTCCGTTCTTCCAGGTGGCTAATGCAACATCTCCCTACGACCTTTTGTGTACTCAGAAACTTCACCTTCTCCATGTCTAACTCTGACTAGGCTCAGCCTTGGCCATCTGCAACAGAGTGGGGGTTTGTAGGTCCTCGGATGAGTGGTCGTACGATAACACCTCTCCTAAGCAGGATGGGCCCATGGAATGAGATGTCCTGAATGTTGACTATGCTTAGTGACAGGTAGTCATCTTGGTGACTTCTGGAATGATCATTTCTCCTGGCCTCAACATAATCCTTAGGTGCTGAGACAGTGTAGAGAGAACTTGTTCCTTTTGAGGAGAGAAAATGTTTGCCTTTTAAAAACTGTGAAATTGTGGAATATTTTCTTACTTGGTTTTATCTGCTGGCTATTGATTTTAGCAGCTGTTCCCGACTGCTATCTTGACAGGCCCCGTTGCCCTGTGTGAACCAAGAAACAAACAACCTGCCAACTGAACAAAGCCTTTTCTGAGCACATACAGCAAAGTCAAGGTTCTACATACTGGACTGTGTAATTTGATTCTAAGTGCAAGAGATTTTGTCATTCTGATTCCAAATAATCCTACCTCTATTAATCTGCCCTACACTAGGAAACAACACAGGAAAACAATTCAAATGTGGTGTTTGCTATTAAGGCAGAAAATAACTGCAATAAATCAAACCGTTATGTTTTAAGCCAAGGGGCCCAAGGCCAATTTCCCTTTTGGCAAATTAGAAAATACAGAAAAGGGAATTATGCAAGGTATTTTACTATTGCTTAAAATAGTTCTTTGCTTGTATGTACTTTTTCTTAATGCTGATAAAATGTTACATAGCCCTTTTGCATTTTTTAATATATGATTTATCTCACCAAGAATTAATACAAATGGTATAACACATTTGTTAAAAAATTAGGTTTGGTGGAAATATATCTATAGTGAAAATATGTGAAGCAAACCATAGAAAAACCTGGGGGAAAAGTAACTGGGGGAACTTCTAATGGAAGGATGACATTAGGAGATAACAAAAAGACAGGAGAGGAAAATGCAGACTCCAGCACTGACACCCCTCACTCATCACACACAGACTCCCCTGCACAGGTCTGAACAACGTGCACATGGGAATGAAGGGGATTTACAAAAGCGGTACTTTTCCAAAAATGTCACTGTTTAGCTGGAAAGATTACAATAGCCAACCACAAAGTGTTCTCCAGAAAAACACGTCAAAACTGTTTTCTTCTACTGCTAAGAGAATATAATCTTTTCATAACATAACAACTAAGAGTTCTGTTGCTGGGAGTAGAGAAAACATTCAGATCTTCTATGCCTGAACTTTCTCTTCCAACAATTCTCAGAATGCTAGCAACAAAGATTCTTCAGCAGATCCCTGATTTCTTCCACAATTCCACACTCATCTGGAATTAACAAAATCACAATCAATGGGTACCCCAAACATGTCTGTAAGCCCCATTAGAAGATAATCTTCTGAAAGGGAACTAGCACCCCTTCTTTTCTTTTTTCCTCTCCCATTCAAGTATCTGCTACAGTACCAGATATGTGTTCAACAGATTTTTATTGGGAATGAATGAATTCTACATATTTTTTTTCCAACAGTTGAGTTACACAACTGCAAAACAGTCCTGGGTTTATAAAAAAAAATTCAAACAGCATTAGCAGCCTTTTCTCTAGTCCTACATTACAGCTGTCAACAGGCTTTTGAAGATATATGAATTAAGATTACACAGGCTAAAAAGATAAAATGCTATTAGCTGAGCCTCATGGTGGAGTAATTTTTTTTCTATGAAACCTATGTGACCCCACTCTCTTAGAAAGCTGTAACTTCAACCCTCCTTTGGTACTGTGACATCATTACAACACCAACATACCTATTTATTTATTTTGAGACAAGATCTTGCTCTGTTTCCCAGGCTGGAGAGCAATGGCCTCATCATGGCTCTCTACAGACTCAAATTCCTGGGCTTAAGCGATTCTCCTGCTTCACCCTCCAGAGTTGCTGGGACTATAGGCACATGACACCACGCCCAGCTACTTTTTCTATTTTTTTGTAGAGACAGGTTCTCATTCTTGCTCAGGATAGTCTCCAACTCCTGGCCTCAAGTGATCCTTTCGCCTTGGCCTCCGAAAGTGTTAGGATTATAGGTGTGAACCACCATGCCTGGCCAACATCTATAATATTTACTGCTCTTAGGTAACATATACCTCTGTATACTTTTTAGAAGGTCTTAAATAGTAGGCACTCATTAAAGCCTGTTTAATGACTGTAAGTTATAAACAAACGTGTGCTTTTCTGCACAATTTTCACACAGACTAAAGGTTTTGATCCTCAACTTGTGTGTTTAATCCTCAACTTCCTAAAAACACAGTAGATGCATACCTGTCTTCTTTATTGACTTGAGAATAATATGATCTCTGTCTGATTGCCGAATAGAAGGAGAAAGCCTCATTCAGATAGCTGGTCTCAGATGTGCGTAAGCTATGAGAAAAAAAAAATTTTAATATGGTAGTCAGAAACTCTTCACCATGATAAATACTTGTTCCATATGTCTCTAGTCCCTATATAAGGTGATAGGAATGACTGTCCTAAATTTGAACCAGCTAGGCAATAATCATATCACCCTTAAAATGTATAAAAATAGTAATAATGATATTTTTGGTAGAAATGGGATCTTGCTCTTCCTCAGACTGGTCTCGAACTCCTGATCTCAAGCAATCTTCCTGCTTCAGCCTCCCAGAGTGCTAGAATTATAGGCATGTGCCATGGCACCCATCCCAAGCCTTTTTTTTTTTCTTTTGGAGACAAGGTTTTGCTCTGTTGCTCTGGCTAGAGTACAGTGGTATCATCATAGCTCACTGCGCCCTCAAATGCCTGGGCTCAAGTGATCCTGCTATGTCAGCCTCCTAAGTAGCCGGGACTACAAGTGTGCACCACCACACCCAACTAATTTTTAAATTTAATTGTGGAGATGGGATCTCACTGTGTTGCTCGGGCTGGTCTTAAACTTCTAGCTTCAAGCAATCCTCCCACCTTGGCCTCCCAAAGTGCTAGGATTACAGGTATTAGCCTCCGTACCTGGCCCCAAGCCTTTTTTATTATATACCTGATATTACTTCATGATAATGAAATGTAGATTCCTAAAAGGAGCTCTCTTCTTTCCTTGACTCAAGAGTGGGACTACATAGATGTTATTGCTCTAAGGATATAATCAAAAGTACCTTTATTTATCTCATGTAACCTTTCAAACAACATATTCTACAAGAATGAGTTTTTAAAAGCATCTACTGACAACTATTCATTCATACATACAAGTTATAATATATCTCTGCATAGTATTAAGACTTAAGTTAAGGCATAAGAACTATAAATTCATCTATTATTTATCATTTATCTAAAACAGAAATCAAACTCCTTTAAGTTACAAATGAGTCTGACCAAATGAACTGTTTAGAAGGTAAGCCTTTAAAGCAAATAATATTACTTTGATTATGAAAGGTCATTTCATAATGTTGTCTTTTTTTCCCCACACACACAGATGGGTTCATGGTGTATCACCCAGGCTGGTTTCAAACTCCTGGCCTCAACTGATCCTCCCACCTTAGCCTCCCAAGTAGCAGGGACTACAGGAACAAGCCACCATGTCCACCTAATTATCATATTTTTTAGACACAAGATCTCACTATGTTGCCCAGGGTGGTCTCGAACTGTTGGCCTCAAGAGATCCTCCTGCCTCAGCCTCCCAAGTAACAGGGATGACAGGTATGAGCTATTGCAGCTGGCTTGATGATGCTGTCTTGATCAATCTGGTCTGAACTATTAGGGTTTCATCTGTAACTTATTGTATTCACGCCTAACAAGTGAGTGTACTACACATACTTCTCCATGCTGTGTTTTAATCAGGGTAACACTTTACTCTTTCCGTATACAATGCACTTACTAATAATGGTAGTATAGCTGCCCAATCTTGGAAGCAATTTCCCCTATTTGCCACCGCTTCAAGCCATACCGATTATCCAAGACTTGTCTGTTTTATAATGGAAACAAGAAAACAGAAATAAAAGACTATAAATTTCAAAAATAACCAAATCTATATATTCAATAGAATAAAATACCATCCAATTCATCAAAGCTCATGAATTTTTCATAAGATTTCAACATAATCGTTCAATTAAAAAAACATTTATTAAATGTCTATTTAAGTAAGTTCAAATATAAAAAGAAACTACTTTGAGCTATGTCCATGAAAATTAGAAGCAGCACACACATGATAGCCTTTGGCTAATAAAGAACATGTATTTTAGAATGAAACCATGAATCATCTCACTTATGTTAGAGTTCATCTGAACTATTAAAAATGTAACATTGTCTTTAAAAAATCAGATAAGAACACTATATTTTAAATCTTTTTTTTTTCTTTTTTAAGACAGAGTCTTGCTTTGTTGCCCAGGCTAGAGTGAGTGCCATAGCATCAGCCTAGCTCACAGCAACCTCAAGTTCCTGGGCTCAAGCAATCCTGCTGCCTCAGCCTCCTGAGTAGCTGAGACTACAGGCATGTGCCACCATGCCTAGCTAATTTTTTCTAGGTATATTAGTTGGCCAATTAATTTCTTTTTATTTATAGTAGAGACGGGGTCTCGCTCTTGCTTAGGCTGGTTTCGAACTCCTGACCTTGAGAGCGATCCACCCGCCTCGGCCTCCCAGAGTGCTAGGATTGCAGACGTGAGCCACCGCGCCCAGCCTATATTTTAAAATCTTCAATAAATAATAAAAAATAAATTTGTTTTATTTGGGTCATAAAGATGAACTATATTATTTACAAAGACCCAAATAAAAAGCACTGAGGTACTAAAGATCAAAACTGTGACTAATATAATGAGCTTTCACTTTCCTTTAACTATAAAATTCCTTTTACCGGTGCTGCTGCTGGAACTTCCAGAGTTTGGTGTAAACATCAAAAGTTCTTCCAAAATAGGACTGCCATTGCTTCTGTCCATATTGCGGCAAATCCCTGTAATAATAAATAAGCATATATTAATTTTAAATCTCTTATTATACTATTTTGAAATTAAGTCTTGTGGTGGTACAAACCAGAAAGATTTAAAGAATTTGCATTCAGGTGTTCTTTTTTTAAAAAAAGTGAAAATTTTTGAAGGAGAAATAGTCAGGACATGTTCTTTCCTGTTCTTCTTCATGCTTCTGACTGTTCACTCTCAGTGTTCTCTGCAAATGCAGAGAGGTTTCTAGCACTCTCTTCCCTCTCTCTGGGTGATCTTTTTCATACTCACTTATATACTAATAACTTCCGAATGTTTATCTTGGACTAAGAACTCAGCAGTGTGAAAAATATTGCTTTAGGGAATATATCTGGCAGTGGATGTACAGGTGGTATTATTGTTTTCTATTCTATCCCCTCCCTATAAGAGAAATATACATCCCTGTCCTTGGCCCCGGTGACTTATAGCACATGTCTTTTAGAGACAAATACTCTCTACCAAACATTGGATCTGGCCATGTTAACTTGCTGTGGCCAGTGAAAGATAATTGTAAGTTATCTATACCATATCTGAGGAGAAGAGTAAAGGACATTGCATGGTTCAGCATTTTTATTTTTCCCTCTGATCTAACACAAAGATAGGGCTGCTCTTTAGCCTGGAACACAGGGTATGACATATTTAGTGGGGAAAAACTGCAGACAACTTGTAGCTAACATGGGTGCTAGAAATGAATCTTGTAGTAAGGCACTAAATCTTTGGGGTTATTTGTTACAGCAGCCCTATTTAGGAAAAGCTAGTACAGAAACTGGTAACAGGGATAGGTTACTGTGATAACAAACAGATACCATACTTGCACTGGGATTGAGTGGCAAGTTAAGTGTTACTGAAGGCCATAAAAACCATGGTCTATATAATGCAGTGGTAAACCTGCCATTTGCCTGCAATAACTTAGAAAAGCAGATAATATAAATAATGAATTTGTGGATTTATACAAAACAGCATACTCCTATTCTATGACTTATCATCCCATTTTTATTGACTGGGGTTTTTTAATGACTAGTTATCAAATGTACCAATCTTTAGAGTTAGTGCTTTTTTTTTTTATCATTTTAAAGAATTCATCACATAATAGTATTGTCTTCTGCTTAAACTTTTGACTTTGAAATTTAACTTTTTTTTCCTTTATGAAGACAGAGTCCTGCTCTGTTGCTCTGGATAGAACAGTGGCATCATCGTAACTTACTGAAACTTCAAACTCCTGGGCTCAACTGTTCCTCCTGCCTCAGCCTCTGAGTAGCTGGGACTACTGGCATACACCACCACACCCAGCTAATTTTTCTATTTTTAGTGAGATGAGGTCTTGCTCGAGCTCAGGCTGGTCTTGCAACTCCTGGCCTCTGGTTTTCCTCCCTCCTCGGCCTCCCAAAATGCTGGGAATACAGACATGAGCCACGAGGCCCATGCTAAAACCCTATTTTTTCATTATGAGATTATATTTTCATTCATTTATTGAACGGGTAATTTATACACATAATACAAAATTCAAAGAGGATAAAAGGTATGTATACAATAAAAAGTCAGTCTGTCCTACTTCTCCTAGTAACCCAGTTCTCCATTCTAGAGAATCCTCATTTATTTACAAGCATAGAACTGTGCATATGTGTATAAACATATACCTCAAAAAATAAGTTTAAAATAAATGTATTAATTTAAAAAGATGAAAGAGAACAGTCCCAAGACCTACCCAATTAGAATTAGTATTTTAGCATATTTCTTGCCAGACTGTTTTCTACTCATATTCGTTTTTTTGCTTTAAATAAAGAAGTTATATTTCTATTTCATTGACTGTCCAAAACTATTAGTAATTTAACTGCCTAAGGAAAGGGTTTCACAAAAGAATTTCTTGTGCTCAATTTTGGGCTATCAAAGTGAGAAATAACCATACAAATGAAAGTGTTTGCTTTTTAAGCATCACTAAAACTAAAGTTTTTCAGTGTGGCTAGTTCGACCTGGTAGGTCTTGCTAAAATGTTTTTATTGTGATGAGTTGGGTGCAGTGCATATGGGTAATTCACCAGCCCTAGAATACCATGACATTCTAATTTATGATTTCCTTTTTAGCTGCTATTTCCAACACACAGCTGTGCATCTTCAAACAATTTTTCCTCCAAACCAGCATGTTTTCTGAATATGTCCTCTTGATCTGCTTACCTAGATGTTTTTCCAAATGCTGCAAAATGTTTTCTGATTTCATCTTTACTTTTTCTATTCCAATTTTTCTGGATTTTCCATCAAAAATACTGATAATTCTTCAGCTGTATCATCTTTATTCTCTTGACTCCATATTCATCATTTTCTCTCTAGATATTGAGAGATCATCTCCAATTCTTCCTGAACATCACCAATTTCATGTTTCTAAGAAGTGTCAGTTCTATTCTTTATTGTCTTTGCTCTGAATTTTAATCCTGATACTGCATTTTTGCTTTTCTGAAAGTCTTTCGTGTCTTATTTAACCTTAACCTGTTCTCTCCTTATAGTTTTATGCTCTTTTCATAGATGCTATGATCTGTGGCACTTTATTGCAGAAGGCAAACAATTTTCCAAAATTTTCTTATGGTTTCTGTTACTAATACTTTTCAGAAGTCTGAGTCTCAAGGAAGATGTTTTCATTCCCTTGTTGTACGTGTGTGTGTGTATGTGTGTGTGTGTGTGTGTGTGTGTAGAGGGAGTGTGTGTTATGAGGGAGTGATTATTTTTATTTTTGAAATAAGCCCATTTAGAGCTTTGACTCATCCTTCCTAGAACAAGGTATGGTCTACCCAGGCTGTATGTTTGCTAATTCTTCTTCCTAGAATATGTCTCTTGGCTGAGAGGAAGGAATATCAATCCTTTATCGTCCTACCCACTGATCTGCACTCTAGCACATTCAGTTGAGCAATATTATCATTAGTGTCGATCAGCTGGTGAAAGGGACCATGCACATGCCTACATTTGGATTCTCTGACACTATGAACCACTGTATACATAAAAACTACACCGGGGGTGTGGCTCACGCCTGTAATCCTACATCTCTGGGACAGGCGGCTGATCGCCCAACGGTCAGGAGTTGAAACCAGCCTGAGCAAGAGGTGAGATCCGTCCTACTAAATAGAAAGAAATTATTGGCAACAAAATAATGAAACAAATTACGCCGGCCTGGTAGGTGCATGCCTGTAGTCCCAGAACTCAGGAGGCTGGAGCAGGAGATTGGCTTGAGCCAGAACTTGAGGTGTCTGGTGAGCTAAGGCTGACGCAAGCACCATCTAGCCAGGGCTACAGAGTGAGACTCTGTGAATAAAAAACAAAGAAACAAACAAACAAAAAAACCTACCAATTTTCAAAAAATTCTTCATGTCTATCTCAACAAATCTATTCATACGGTTTCTAAGCTCCAGTATGTACAATGTGGCAGTGACAATATTTATCTCCCCCCATACCTTCTGCATAAACTAATCTTTAGGAATAGTAATCTGGCTATCTCATAAAGCATAAAACACGAAGGACTGCTACATTATTGTTGAAGACTTTATCAGTTAACTTACTGCATAAACATTCAATCTCGCAGCCTAACGAACCATGTTATTCAGTAGTGGTTTTGTGGGTTAGCCATCTGAGCTGGGCTCAGCTGGGGTTTTAATGAGACTCAGCAAGACATGCACCCATGCAACTCAGACGGCCAGTGATCAGAGGTGTCCCTCAAATGTCCAGCAGTTGTCTGCTTGGCCACATGTTTCTCATCATCCGACCGTTACCTGTTTGTTTAAATGGTTGGGTTGCAAGGATCCCAAGAGCAGTAAAAGGGAGGACAAGCTCTAATGTAAATTTTTCTTTTCAAGTCTTTGTATCATATTTGCTACTCTCCCATTGGCCAAAGCAAATCTCACAGCCCAAGCTCAAGGGCAGTGTGGGAGGGAACTATTCACATACAGGACACCGAGGAAGAGATCATTTTATAAAAATCTAATCACAGGACTTTTTCTTTTTTTCAATTTGATAATGAGTCTCTCAGAACACAAAATGAGCGGCGTGGATGGCTCGCGCTGTATCCACACTGGGAGGCTGAGGCGGCGGATTGCTTCAAGGTTAGGAATTCACACCAGCTGAGCAAGACCCCTGTCTCTACTAAAAATAGAACGAAGTTATGCCAATAATATATTATGAAAATTAGCCAGGCGTGGTGGCAATGCTTTAGTCCCAGCTACTGGGAGGCTGAAGGCAGCAGGTTGCTGAGCCCAGGATTTGAGGTTTGCTGTGAGCCAGGCTGCGCGTGGCACTCACTTCTAGCTGGCCCTCGCTCTCTCACAAAACAAAAAAAAGAAAACAAAAATGCTACAAAGTATATAAAGCAAGAACTAAAAAAAAAATACGCTATTGCTTTTCCCCTCAAGTCCAGTCCCCACAAATAACCACCACTGAGAATAATTTCTCTATGCACATTTAACTATGTATATGAGGTTTTCCATTATTTCATGCAAAGGGGATCAAACTATATATAAAATTATGCAACAAGTCTTTTTAATTTAATAATATATCAGGTTTCTTTAATATATATATAGAATTATATCAATATTTACCATGTACAAAGTAATATATAATGAACCAATTTATTTAACCAATACCCTCCTGATGAAGATTTATGTTCTTTCTAGTTTTTCTCTGTTATAAAAATGCTGCAATAGGCTGGATGCGGCAGATCACAACTATAATTCTAGCACTCTGGAAGGCCGAGGAGGGAAGACTGCTTGAGGCTAGGAGTTCAAGACCAGCCTGAGCAAGAATGAGATCCCGTCTCTACAAAAAACTAGCCAGGTGTGGTGGTGCACATCTGTAGTCCCAGCTATTTGGGAGACTGAGGCAGGAGGATCGCTTGAGCCCAGGAGTTGGAGGTTGCAGTGAGCTATGATGATGCTACTGCATTCTAGCCCAGGCAATGGAGCAAGACTCTGTCTCAAAAACCAAAAAACAAAAACAGTAAA